ATTCACAATATTCGGCTGAAAACCCTGGAGTGGGTAACCGAAGAACCTACACACACACACACACACACACACACACACACACGAATAGCCCTCAGCACCGAGTGAGCTCAAGAAAGCGATTACAGATTTTATTACCAATTTTCAACAAAACTCACAGCAAGAACAGCTTAAAAGATAACTACAAAGAAACTGGACTGGAGGAGACCCCACAAAGTGAGCAGAAGTGACAGAGGGAGGAAAAGGGGGCCGCCCTTCCTTTCCCCACCATGAGCCTGCCAGCCACACGTGGTGGCAAAGGCAAAGCTAAGCCACATCTGAGAGGCTGTAGGGTCAACTTTTTGTGTCTTCAAGAAGCTGTTTGAAATACGGGTCTGTAGCTATGCTAGCTGATGGTAAACCTCACTTCATGGTGCTATTTGCCTTATGATGCTATCTCAGCAAAAGTAGTACATTAAACTTGTGATACAATACTATGTTCTTTTTAATCATTATTTTTATTTTAAATTTAAAATGCTATATTATTGTATTTCTTAGGCATAATATATGACACATCATGTAATATATGATATATCATATAATATACATTAAAGTATAATAGTAATAAATAAGAACACATGCATTTACTTAGTATCAAGTGCTCATGCTCTAAGTAATTTTCCTGAAGGGGATGTGTGACCAGAAATGCGTGGGGTCCATTGTCAGAGTGAAAAAGCAGCTCACAGTGTAGCTATTGACGCACCCAGCCGAGATCTCTGGGAATCCGTGCTCTTATGCAAAGCCAACAAAGAAACCAGAGAGCTACAATGAATGCAGTGACTTTGGTTGCTGCTACCTGAACATAATTCAACTGACTGTTGCTCTATTTGGGCCAGAATAGTTATGTTTATGTGTAAGATGGTTACACCTCAATTGTGTAGTAAAGAAAAAAGGGAGGAATGGAGAGGGAGAGGAAGAGGGAGAGGGAGAGGGAGAGGGAGAGGGAGGGTGGATATGGGGCACAAGAAGAAAAGAGATGAAGGAAAAAAGGGAAGGAAGGAGGGAGGAAAGAACAACAGAAAAGACACGATAGGAAGACCCACAGATGGAAAGAAAGCACCCTAAGAACTGCCCCTCCATGAAGCAAAAGATCATTTCTGGACCCACCGTCTCCATATTAAGAAATTCCAGGTACGCCTCGAGAGCACTGGGAGCCTGGTATTCCCCTGCCTCCACCTCCTCCTCCACGCCACCTGCCTTGCTCACCTCTCCCATCTGTAGGAGAATGTTTCTATGTGTTTCCAAGAGCCTGTTTCACTGACGCCACAGGAATGAGCTAAAAGCCACAGTTTCCATTGCAAGGAAGATTGGGGAAAAGCACAAAACAGTGAGTAATTTATAATGAGGGTTAACAAGGTCTTTAAATGGTAGAAAACTTTAGCATAATCTTTTTCCAAAACATGCAACAAGCCTGCAGCACAAACTCCACAAACAAGAACAATTCATTTATGCACAAGCTACGCTGTGGGTAACAACCATGAGAGAGAGTAGGAGTCAGCAGTGCTATAGATATCTGCAAACAGGTCAACGTGAGCATAAACATTTTAGAATATTGATTTAATAGCCTGGCCAGTGTGGTTCAATGGTTGAGCATTGACCCATGAATCAGGAGGTCATGGTTGGATTCCTGGTTAAGGCACATGCCCAGGTTGCAGGCTCAGTCCCAATGAGGGGTGTGCAGGAGGGAGTCAATCAGTAATTCTCATCATTGATGTTTCTATTTCTCCCTTCCTCTCTGAAATCAATAAAAATGCATATCTTTTTAAAAGAATATTGATTTAAGATACACTGAGCAATGATACTATATATAATGATACTATATATAAAGTGATTCAAAGAGTTTTCAAGATCTCACATTATTAAAAACATTCCATAGCTTTTTACCTTTATTTCTGTTCACTCTGCCTCCCCCAGATCAGCTTGAGAACCACTCATCTCCGCTACTACACGAATCCTTTATGTGGCCTCCTTGTCCTTGATTCCCTCACCTCAACCCCGCTTAGCAACTATTGCCATAATAACCTTCTTACATCTTATTTGGTGGCTGTTCAAAATTCTTCTGTGGCTGCTTGTTGCTTACTAAATTCTTCAATCAACAATTCAGCATGGTCCAAACCTACTTTCTAAGACTGCTGCAACTTATTCCATCATCATTGTGGCCAGAGCGGTCCTCTAATCCCTTTAACAGGTGAGTTTCCATTCACCAGAGCCCCTGTTCCTCCTAGCCAGCGCCAAGCTCTCTGCCTTGGACTCACTTGGCCTTGATCAAGGTCCGTGCTGATGGTCTCCACAGAATGTGACTCCAAACAAGGACTGAGACTTGTTAAATCATTGTGTTCCAGCCACTAGAATGTTACTGGGGCACATCACAGGGCAAATGAAATAGTGAGGGAGAGAAGGAGGAAAGGAAGGAAGGAGGGAGGGAGAGAAGGGAGGGAGGGAGGGAGGGAGGGAGGGAGGAAAGAGAGGGGAAGCTCGGAAACCAGTTTGGCTCAGTGGATAGAGCGTTGGCCTGTGGAATGAAGGGTCCCAGGTTCGATTCTGGTAAAGGGCATGTACCTTGGTTGCAGGCAAGTCCCCAGTAGGAGGCATGCAGGAGGCAGCTGACTGATGACTCTCTTTCATGGATGTTTCTAACTCTCTCTCTCCCTTCCTCTCTGTAAAAAACCAATAAAATATATATTAAAAGAAAGAAAAGAAGAAAGGGAGGGGAAGGAAAGGGAAGGAATGGAAGGGAAGAAAGGAGGGAGGGAGGAAGGAAGAAAGGGAGGGAAGGAGGGAGGGAGGAAAGGAGGGAGAGAGGGAGGGGGGGAAGAAAGGGGAAAGAAGAATGGAAGGAAGGGGAAGGAAGGGGAAGGGAAGGAATGGGGGAAGAAAGGGAGGGAGGAGGGCAGGCATGCCTAGTGTTACAGGTGACTTACCTTCCTTTCCACCCTGAGGTAAGGACATTGAAGGCAAGGCTAGGGTTTTATCCTCATCAGAGTCCCTAATATCCTACCCCGTGCTTCACACATGAAAACAAACTCTAAAATCTCATATGAGAAAACTATTATAGCCCTGTCATGCCTTAGAAAATAAGAGCAGATTCCATTTAGTGGCTTATCCTGCAGAAGGACACGCTCGCAAGCACACGTGTGGAAGGGTCTTCTGGGCATGGGCTGCAGTCATTCAGACACGGTGACTTCATTAATGTGCTCACAGAGCTCTGCTTGCTCAGGCAGAGGGTGCGGCCAGCGGCTCCCAGACCTGCAGCACCTGCTGGCACTGGACCAGAGCTCTTTGCCCACCACTGGGCATCCTCCTGGGATTGTTTAATCTCAGGACAGTCTGCCTGTTGCTCCTCTGGGAGGAGATCTCTCTCCCCTTTGCAAGCAGGATGTGTTTAACCACCAGTATCTCAGTGAACCGCTGGGTCTTTCCGTGTATCTGAAAAGGCTAAACACCATACCTCGCTTGTCACTTTAAACCCATTTTAAGTGGCTTATTTAACCTTTGCTAAATGACTACTAAGCCTTTATTTTGATACCTGGGAATGCTAGTTAATGGGGGAAATTACATTACCTGGCCTACTCACCTACTGTTAGTCTAAGTCATAATTATTGTTCTTAGGGATTAGCAACCAAGTAAATGCATACCTTTCAATTAACAGAAGCTAAAAATACCAAAGTGGAAGAAATTAGCATTTAATTGTAATATAATAAATACCACATCTCATATCAATTTTCCTTTATTGTAATCTAGTAATATATTTTGGTTATATTTTATTATTCTTTATCATATTTTAAAATAGAGTACACACCCCTTATAATTAAACCATAAGTGATGCCAGATACTGCACCGCTATTTATGCCTGTGCTGTTACCCTAGGGGCCATGTCTGTGATGGCACCATTGCAGAGAAGATGGTGCTTCAAATTTTGACCACCCATATGGCCCAGCAGTTGAGCATTAATCCAGGAACCAAGAGATCACCAATTTTATTCCAGGTCAAGGGCACATGCTCCAGTCAATCCCTAGTAGGAGGTGTGCAGGAGGCAGCCAATTGATATTTCTCTCTCACTCTCCCTTCCTCTTACTCTAAAAATCAATAAAAATGTATATTTTTTTTAATGTGACTGCCTGTCTGGTGTGTGCTCTCCTTGGAGTCTCGTGAGGATCAATAAATCCCAGTTCTTGAGCAGAAAGGGCTCAGAGAGGGAGGCTCCTTCCCAAACTGACAATTCAGATCATTCAAGCAAAATCAGACATGGAGAGGCATGCAGCTGCAAAATAGCCCTTCATTTTTCATATTTGGCAGCAAAATATTGCCTTTCTCTGAAGAGCAGATAGGCAACAGGTTTGCAAATGTACTTCCTAAAAAAAAGAACATTTTCAACTATTTTGGAATCGAATGCTATTTTGCATACAGCATGATAAAAATACTGATGCTCACAAATTCTTCTAAATTCTCATGTAAATGATCGGGCTGTTAATATGTGAACTCTCTCCTACATTTTTGTTCTTAGCATGTCATCATCTTTGCAAGAAAGTTTCCTCAACACCCCCCCCCCCAAGAAATAGCCCCCTGCTGCCATTCATTCCACGTTAATTTTATGGAACATAAACAGTGTATTTCATGTGTCTCGTGAGAGCTTCCAGGTAAACAATGAAAATCAAAACAAAACCTTGGTCAAATCAGCAAATAAAACTTACAACTGCTTAAAAGTCACATACTTACTTTATGTGCATTTTTATTAGATTGCAATAAATAGCTTTTAGTAGGTGTATTTTATGACAACTACCAACTAATTAATGTCTGGCCTTTGGGGGCATGTGCTGTATGTTACCTGAGTACCTTGAATGCAGGGCTGTGCGTCTGTGACCACATAAGGACTCCGTAATTCCTGTGCATGTACAAATAAAATTGTCACCAAAACTGGTTTGGCTCAGTGGATAGAGCGTCAGCTTACAGACTGAAAGGTCCCAAGGTTCGATTCAGGTCAAGGGCATGTACCTTGGTTGCAGCACATCCCCAAAAGGGGGTGTGCAGGAGGCAACTGATCGATGTTTCTCTCTCATCGATGTTTCTCTCTATCTCTACTCTCCCTTCCTCTGTAAATAAACAATAAAATATATGTTTAAAAAAAAGATAATCAAATAAAATTGTCCAGTACTAACATTAATCCATCTTTAAGCCTGAAATTCAAAAGTATTAAAAAGCTTAAAGAGACTGAGAGGGCATGAAAACTGAAGGCCACAGGGTGCGGTGATGGGAAAGGTCAGGTTTTCTGCGTTGGAATACTTTGCTATTTTTTTTTACCAAAATAACTTCTCTGTGCTTCAGTTTTCTCACACAAAAATGAGCACCAGTAGTAGGATTCATTGTGTTATTAGGAGGGTTAAAAAGATTAGCATTTGTAAAGCACTTAGAACAGTACTGAGCATATAAGAAATGCTAAACATTTATTAAACAATAACATTTGTACTACTTGGTTTCAACTATGTGACATTCTAGAAAAGGCAACTAAAAGATCAGTGGTTGAAGGAGGAGGGAATAAACAGGCGGAGCACAGAGGATTTTAAAGGCAGTGAAAACACTTGTATTTCAATGGTGGATGTATGTCATTATATACCGTATTTTCAGGTGTATAAGACGACCCCCTAATTTTATAGTTAAAACATAGGTTTAGGCCTGTATTCGCTGTATAAGACTACCCCCCACTTCCGAGGCAACACCAGTTCTTTTTTTTAATAGACTGCCTCTCTAACTCAGCCAATCCAAGCAGGCTTTTTATGCATGCAAATTATACATGTTCTGTACCTGAAGCTACACTGTGTTCTAGTAAAAAGCCTGCTCAGATTGGCCAGAGTCAGAGAGGCTGTCTATTAAAAAAAGAACTGGTGTTGCCTCAGAAGTGGGGGGTAGTCTTATACAGCGAATATAGGCCTAAACCTATGTTTTAACTGTAAAATTAGGGGGTCGTCTTATGCGCCGGAAAATACGGTGGGTTGATATTCTCTGAGTGGCCAGATTATGATGATCTCTGAACATATAATAATCTGGCCACTCAGTGTGTGGCCCGGTGCATGAATTCGTGCATGTGTGGGGTCTAGACAGCCTGGCCAGGGGGAGGGGACATGGACTGTTGGCCGGCCTGCCTGCTGGTCAAACTCCTGGTCAAGGAGATAATTTGCATATTAGCCTTTTATTATATAGGATGTACAAGGAGTGGCCAGATGATTATGTGTTCAGAGATCATCATAATCTGGCCACTCAGTATAGATAGATCAACAGAAAGGCCATTTCAGGGAGTGATGTTGACAATGGGACGATTCTGCAGGTGTTGAGGCAGGGGTATATATGGGAAACAGGGCCATTAGGACTGATGGTCTACAGTTTGGGGTTCAAGACAGAGGGACCATGTGGACTTTGTCATGTGATTTTCTTATCCTCCCGGACCTTCCTTTCTTCTTCCCACATTCTTAAAGGAGGAAGGAAACAGAACTGTTTTCCCTTTCCATATGTTCTGACTCCCTCGTGTGATTCCATAGGTCTAGCTGCATCCACATTGTAAGAGCCCTGATGCTCAGATTGTATAACAAGTACCCAGCCTGGCCAAACAGCAGAACAGAACAAAACAAAAGCCCTGAGATGACCAGGTTCAAAAAATATATAGGTTTACTATTTGTTTTTGTTTATTTTTAAAGCCACCACTCACCCCTGACAGGCATTTACCTCTCCCCAGAGAAAGCTATCATCAGTCAGCAGGAGTGAAATGTCTGTGACGGAGACCCCATGTCTGTGTGGATCAAACCTAGGACAGATTTACTGTCCGGGCCCAATATCTCTGTGAGCTATAAATAGCCCAGCACTTTCCCACTGCTCAGTGCTGAGAAATGATTAGCTGAATGTCACTGAGGGTCTTGGATCAAGGGAGGCAGTTAATAAAAACTGACGGAAGAGTCTACCCTTAAGATATCCCTGTAAATGTTAGATAATAATATTTATTAACTGTCTCCTTTTTGGCGATGTTGATTTCAAACTAAACTCAGATGTGTTTCCTTTGCATATATAACATATGTAATACTAATTGACAGTTTAGTCTCACTTGTGTACAGGGTCTCTTTCGAGACTCTCACATTTAATGTAGGTTTCATGCCCTGAGAAATTACATTTTTGTCCTGTGCTAGTTTTTTGCTCAGTATCACTTTTTCCTCTGAAAATCTGGATGCCGTCGAAACTGTTTTTGGCTCAGTGAATAGAGTGTCGGCCTGCAGATTGAAAGGTCCCAGGTTCGATTCTGGTCAAGGGCATATACATTGGCTGCAGGCACATCCCCGGTGGGGGGAGTGCAGGAGGCAGCTGGTCGATGTATTTCTCTCATCGATGTTTCTAGCTCTCTATTCCTCTCCCTTCCTCCCTGTGAAAAATCAATAAAATATATTTTTTTAATTAAAAAATTTAAAAAAATGAAAATCTGGATGCCACCCTTTTGGATTGTCACCTTTGAGGAAAAAGACATCACAGTGGTAGTTGCTATATATATTCTAGTTTACAAGAGCTATTTATTTTGCTCTTAGTTTTTCCATTTCAGCTATCAACAATGACATTGTTGCTCAAGTAAATAATATAATGCAGATGCATAAAGTAAATTACCAAAGGCAGTAACTTCTCTAAAAGTAGAAGGGAGCATTCATAACCACGAGAATCAATTCAGTTTAGCAAACACTCTGTCCCCTTCCAACAAACACTAGCACCTTCCTGCCTTGCCTAGGCTCTGAGGTTCAAAGACAATGTGTGTAGTGCAGAGCCCCTGAGTGGCTTTCAAAAAACCTGGAATCTGTCTGTTCCAAGATCTAGTCCTTCGTTTCCACAAATGAAACTGCATTCTCTTCCTGTCCATTGCTATATTTTGGTATCTATGTCATAGTGTACGTTTCATTTTTTCAAAGCAATTTAGCATTGTTTGGTATAAGTAGTTCTCACAGACTAAAGGAGGCAGGAATACCTCTGAAAAAAAAATGGACACAATTTTGTATTCATTACAAAAAGACAAGGGACTACTGGAAATTGAGAGCAACCCATGCAAAAGTACCGTGTTAGGAGGGGACACAGACATGTCTGGTGAGGGCCCTCTTCCTGGGTCATGGACCTCGCCATTCTCCGAGTCCTCACAAGGGGAAGGGGTGAGCTAGCTCTCTGGGGTCTTTTTAATGAAGAGCACTGGTCCCAATCACGGAGGCTGGGCCTCATGGTCTGATCACCTCCCAAAGACCCCACCTGCTAATACTGCAAGTAGGATGTCAATTGTTCAGCCCAGCTCACGGGAAACTGTGTCTAGAGAAATAGAATTTGCAAAAATGTCAGGTAAGGTATAGGAGAGCTAACCAGAATACTGAGCTTGAATAAATCATTTAGATGAAAGTATGTCAGTTTATTTAAGAAGTGAATAGTACCCCATAAGTATATATAAAATTATTAGAAGAAAAAGATACATAGCAAAATATTCATATTACCAATGTTATTCTATTAAAATCCTATTAAAGCTCACTTGTACACAAGGTACTAGTAGCCATTTGCTCAAACAGGGCATAATTGGTCAATACATAAGTTGGTTGTCATACAGAGAAAATTGCAGTACAGTAAGTCAATATTTTACTTTAATGTCAAAATACCCATACTACCACGGCAGACATGTTATTGACATCAAGATATAATTTAGTTTCAATAAGAGGCATTTCCAGTTTAACTTTATTGTCATTGATTTTTATCATATTAGGTAGAGATTCTGATGGTGAGTTATTTGCATAATTTTAATGTGGTCATATCTTGCACTTGCTTAGAGTCTTGGAGATGGAGTATGACCACGTGCATTTTTGCTGCAAAAGAAATTTGTGTGTTATCTGTTACCATATTCTCTCCTCCTTAAGCAGGCTATGGAAGCACACACATACAAAAAATGCTTTCTAAACTTAATTTGATTAAAAAACTTTCTACATATGCCTTGAAATGTAAATTATTCAAATTTCATATTTTAATACCAAAATAATGGTACTACTCTAACAAAAACTCTGGTATTTTAATGAATCAAAATATATACCAGAATACCAAAAACATTAACTTTGAGTATTAAAAATCTAAGAAAGGCCTGGCTAGTGTTGCTCAGTGATTGAATGTCAACCTATGAACCAGGAGGTAACAGTTGGATTCCTAATCAGGGCACATGCCCAGGTTGCAGGCTCAATCCCCAGTGTGGGGTATGCAGGAGGCAGCCTATGGATGATTCTTATTATTGATGTTTTTTTATCTCTCCCTCTCCTTTGCTCTCTGAAATAAATAAAAAGTTTAAAAAAAACAAACAAACAAAAAAAAAAACCTTAAGATTAGCAGTCAAATTCTTCCCTTTCATGGACATAAAATCATCCACAGATGTTTCTGAGCATGAAGGTTGCTTCATGAATATGTCTATGTATGGCCTCCTTTCACCATCTGAGCAGGGCAAAAGGCTGGTGGGGAAGATGCTATTAGTAACTATCAGTATTAGCTTTCCCTCAATCTAAAGTGTCAAGCTCACTGCTCCAATCGAATGGTAGGTGGGTTATTTTGCTTTTCTAAGTTTCTTTTTTTTTTTTTTTTTGCCAACATTTAAAAATGGTTAGATTTCACATTACAAAGTCCAACTTTTCCATGAAAATCCAACCTTGTGATTTATCTTGAAAAAATGCATTCCTACTTGGCAAAAAGAAAAAAGAAAAACACCCAAAAAACAAAGAACTATCACCAGGATTCGGTTGAGAAAGGAGCTATGTTCCACAGCTTGCACCTGATTCATTCATGAGCTACCTAGGCCCATGGGGGCATTAGCGTTAGCTAACCCCAAGCCATTTGGTGCACTGAGTACATAAATGCTGGAAGCAGAGGGCATGCTGGGGTGTAAGTGCGTAGAGACTATTGGACAACTATTAGCCTGGGTGGGCTTGTTTGCAGTGTCCTGGGCACAGGCCTAGGAAAATTCATTGTTGAGGTGAGGGTGTTTGGATCTGTCTATATTACAACCCTGTCATTTTCTACCCCTCTCTTCTTCCCCATGATTAAAATGTAGTGGAAAAAATTAAGCCTCCCTTTCCTGCTTTGGAGCAACAAAAACAGGCTTCCAACAGCCCACCTATCATTTCAAGCAGCAAAAAATTTTGCAGATTATCATTACCTTTGTAAGGTCAGATTTCTAGTCCCCTCTTCTCTTCAGAAAATAATTTCCATGTAGGTGGCTCTCACAGGTTTCAAAGACAACGGTATTTGCAAAAATAAATAATGCACAGGAAGGAGACTTAGAACCCAGGGTTAACCATATCAATTGCCATGTGTGTGAGTCCATTCGAATCACTATAATAAAAATACCACAAACTGGAAGCTTATCAACAACAAACATTATTTCTTAAAGTTCTAGGAACTATGAAGGTCAAGATCATGGCCCAGGTGTCTTCTGAGGGCCCTTCCTCAGTCATGGAACTTGTCTTTTCTGAGTTCTCACCTGGTGGAAGGGATGAGCTAGCTCGTATGGGTCGCTTTCACTAGGGCACTGATCCCAATCACCAGGGTTTGGCCTCATAACTTAATCACCTCCCAAAGACCCCACCTCCCCCTCTATCACCTTTGGGGATAGGATGTCCACATATGAATTTGGGAATACACAAATATCCAGACCACGCTCTCCTGATCTATTTAATACACATAAATTTAATATCATTTTATACACTACTAGTGCACTGGTGCACAGATTTGTGCACATTGAAAGGAAATTAATTATAAGGTGGCCATCGAGGCAGACTGGATGAGACAGCCCAGCCACACCCAGAGCCAACCTCCCACAGACCATCCCCGGCTGCACCTGGGGCAGTGCTCTGGCTCAAAGGACATCTGTAGAGTAGCAGGGTCCCTTTAGCAGGTGGGGTCCTTTGGCCAAAACTGTCTCTCTGACATCCCCTAAGGAGTCCCAGATTGTGAGAGGGTGATTCTCAGGTGACACACCCCAGAATAGGGGTTCCTCCTCTTTGGTTCCAGGGTGTGTCACCTAAGAACTGCCACTTCCAAGTCACCACATCTTGGCAGCTTGTGCATTGAGCATCTGTCCCCTGGTGGTCAGTGTGCATCATAGCTACCAGTCAGAAGGTCAAAAGGTCGCTTAGCCTTTTATATAGATTATAGATTATATAGATATAGATGATATAGATATAGATGATATAGATATAGATGATGATATAGATATAGATGATGATATAGATGATGATATAGATGATGATATATAGATATAGATATAGCTATAGCTATAGCTATAGCTATAGCTATAGATATAGCTATAGATATAGATATAATCTTGGAAATAGCACTAAGAATTAGAAAGATAGTCAGGTTCCTACATCCAATGCAAAGAAGTTGAGTCTCACCAGAAACCTACCACCCTTCTTAACTCCATAGCCACCATTTTCCCCAGTGCATTTCTGAGTGTGCCAGCCCCCGAGCTCAGGAAACATGGCCCATGGGGCAAGGGAATGATTCATTGTGGGAATGAGTCAAAAATAAGCCTCGGGGTCCCAAGTGCAAAAGGATGGGCAAGCACAGGAAGTATAACAGATGGTCAGAGGACACAATAAGAATCAATGGCTGCTTCTTCAAGGTCCTCACCCTTAAATCCAGAGCCCCTACTTATATCTCTGGCAACTGACCCTAAAGATCATGTGAGGTAAAAACAGACTGAGGAACTGAAATCCACACCTAAACCTGGTATTTTATCACCAAGGTTGAAAAGTGGTGAACTAATAATAGTGTTTTACTCCCTTAGACTCCAGTGTGACTGTCTGCTTAACAGCAACTCAGTCATACTTAGGGCATCACATCAAATTCCATATTTTGATATTTAGATACTTTTTTAATTGATAAAATATAGCTATTGGTAGTTGATAAAATAAAGCCATAGGTAAGGAAAACATAGCCATTATGGTAATACTTAAATACAATAGATTTAAGAATGATGCATAGTTTATTGCAAGAAGGAATCAGAAATGCAGCGATTATATCATCCCAACTAAAGTAAGAATGGAAGTACAAATCAGAAAAATAGTGTCCAAACTGTCCTGATGACAAATGTTTTAGAGATTTGATGCATCAGGTTTCCTCTCCTCAAAACTGGACAAGAGACTACTTGGAACAATGCTTTGTTCTGGTTTAAAATGAGTGAATGGAGTTTCTTCTTCCATGTGATCATCCCAACGCTTTTACATATAAATTGGTCAATAATGTCCATTATGATTTATACCTGCTACCTATGTCCTATCAAAAAGTTGATGGTCAATTAAAATTAAAACAAAATCACAAATTAAAAATCACATTGTATTTGACTCGAGTCCCTGACCCACACAGTAACTAATGACAGTAATGGTGCCTCATTTTATATGAGATTCAGTGGAGAAATAAATGAATCATATAAGCTTAGAAGTATATTCTATATTCTACTTTTTATTACCTTATTTTAAATGATAATGTCTTTAAATTAAGAAATGGAAATTCTTTTAAATACCAAACTTAAATGGATACTTTTTTAAAAATGTATAAATTTTGAAGATTTAATGTAAAAAAAAAAAAATTTATAACCCTAAAATTAATCTGCTCATTTTGCTTTTCTCGGAGGAAGCAAACAACTCAAACTCCAAAATTAAATGTATTTTAAAGTTTTACACTGAAACTAGAAATAACAGTAAAGCAGAGATGCTTAAATAACATCATTCCAATATAAGAAACCATAGTGAGTTTATAGAATTTGCTTTATTTTTAACCAAATTTATTGCTAAACACATGTACAGGTAATTTTCTAATTCAGCTTTTTTTGCAGGTGTGATTGCATGTCTGCAATTCCTTGGTTTTGGAAATTCTATGTTTAAAATGAGCTATTCTTTTAGTCAGCAAATTATACTCAGGACAGTGCACCTATTTCCATGGATCAAACAACCATGAAGCTACTTAATAAGAACAAACCCTTCCATTGAAACTTTTAAAAAATTTCTCCTGAGTAATTCTAAGAATAGTGTGCAAAGCAAAGGTCATTTATCCTTTAAATGAATCTAAGTTCCTAAGGATCATGAGGGTTTATTGCTACAGATGAGGAAACTGAAGCACACTGTCTTGTCCAAAATGGCAATCAATGTGATTCAAAAACACACAAATTATATCATCCTAACTAAAGCGTGAATGGAAATAAAAATCAGGGGGTGGCTGAATAAGAATTGAAGAGTCCGCCAAAACCGGTTTGGTTCAATAGATAGAGTGTCGGCCTGCGGAATGAAGGGTCCCGGGTTCGATTCCAGTCAAGGGCATGTACCTTGGTTGCGGGCACATCCCCAGTAGGGGGTGTGCAAGAGGCAGCTGATCGGTGATTCTCATCAATGTTTCTAACTCTCTATCCCTCTCTCCTCTCTGTAAAAAAATTAATAAAAATATATTTAAAAAAAAAGAATTGAAGAGTCCTGACTTTAAATAAAATGTTTTTTTCCTAAATAATTTTATCTTATAACTAGATTCATGCACCAGTGGGGTCCCTCAGCCTGGCCTGCACCCTCTCGCAATCCAGGACCCCTTGGGGGATGTTGAAGAACCAGTTTCAGCCTGATCCCTGCAGATGAGGCGGAGGGACCCCACCAGTGCAGGAACCCATGCACCAGGCCCTTAGTATGCATATAAGATCTTTGGTTAATATCTTTCTGCCCTCCCCCATCCTCTCTCCCCTCTGAGATTCACCAGTCTGTTCCATGTTTCCATGCCTGTGCATTGAGCATCTGCTCCTGGTGGTCAGTGCACATCATAGCTACTGGCCAGTTGGTTCAGCTGGTCACATTGGCATAAATATATATATAAATTTTCCAAGAAAAGAATAGTAGAGTGGAGTGGAGGATACAGAGAGGTAACTAAGGTAATTGGCATTTTACATGACCTTATGTTCATGTGATCTCCTGGCTGACATAAATTCTAGATTAACTTCCTTATACATTGGTGTTACCATGCCAATTTTTTTCAATCCAATGGCAATATTAAAAATTATACTTTAAAGGAAAAGACCAAGTTATTATAAACAAAAATACTGTAATAAGCCCTACCATGAAAATGTGTCTTATGAACTGTGGTTATGTGTATAACTAATGTGCCTTTTCCAAGTAATTGTATGCACATGGAAGCATGCACATCTCATTCCAAAAACCTGTGCA